CGTCCTCCACCCCCCCCCCCCCCCAACGGCCTCAGCCAGCAGCGCTCCCGGCTCACACACACACATGTGTGTGTGTGGGGGGGCGGGGGCGGCGGCGGACTCTAGCTGCGCGGCAGGTGTGACGGGAGCCCCCCGCTGTGGGGCAACCCGTCCCGTAGGCGAGGCGGCGGCTGGGGATATTGGTGGCTCTGTCTTCCCCTCGCCCACCTCAAGTTGCTGGTCCCAGGCGCCTGCTCGGCGCCCCACAGAAGCGGTGCCAGCGCCGCCCCTGATTCCCCACAGGCTGGCGGCAGCCCGTGCCCCGTAGCATAAGGGCTGCAACGGCCGCCCAGTGCGGGTTTGCCATAGTTTAGGGGTCCAAAAAGAGGCCGCGGGGGGCGGGGGATACTCACGGGCGTGGCGGGGCAGTGGCCGCCCTGTCGCGGTAGCCAGGCGGCTGGCACAAGCCCAAGGCGCAACCTCAGCCGCCGGGACCGCGGGCGGGCTCCAGGGGCGGGACCTGGAGCGCAATCGGGGTCTTTCTGAGCAGCAGCTTGGTGCGCTGCAGCGTCCCCTCCCCCTCGCACGGTCTAGTAATTGAAAACCCCGCGCCGGCTTGTGCACGCCCATTGTGTGTGCCGGGGGGCCAGGGCCAGCTGCGGGGTGACGGTGGTTGGGGCATACTGAGGGGAGTCAGGGAAGCAGCACTAGGGGGCGGGCCGATCAAAAGTAGTTAACAAATTACAGGTTGCTGTAATAAACCATATACCCCGTGTTTTTTCACATCTAGCAAAGTTTGAATTTAAGGTCCACGCTCCTCTTTTAGAGTACACAGGTTTCCTTTGAGAATGAGGACTAAGAGATCAATGATTACGTCAGAAACAGTGTTTACCTACGCTGGATAGGATGTTTTTGTCTTTTATCATATTTCTGTTAGGTATTTGGAAACATAGTGATCATCTCCAGTCACCCCAATAGTTGCTTTAGTACACTACATACAGTGTTGTGATGGACCCATGGATCTTGAAAGGTGGGTTGGGGGAGGTGTTGATCATCATAGCCAGGGAGATGTGGCTATAGGTTTTGCATTTGTTGTTCTGACAGTGGCTGGTCCTGCTTTAAGTTAGTGTGTCCTTTGAGCTTGCTTCAGATGATGATCTTGGAGAGATTCGGGGGTTATTTCAGGATGTGGTCCCCATCAAGTATGGGTTGTAATTGTTGCATGATACTGCCGCTGGGTTCCAATGTGGAGTGGTAGGTGACAGCTAGAGGTGTATGGTCAGAGAGAGTTTTATTTCTGTACTGAAGCAGATTCTCCCAGGGTATTTGGGTGGCCCATTCCATGATGTGATCTATTTCTCTGGTAGAGTGTCCTTCTTTGGTGAAGGCAGTTTTGTGTGTGTGTTACAGTATAGGTTTTCTCTTCTGATCATATTTTCTAGTATCTGAGTGCCTGGCTGTAGATAATAGTTTTCTTGATATGGTTGGAGTGGTTACTGAATCTTTGAAGGTAGGTGTGGTGATCCATTGGTTTCTTGTATATAGTTGTCTGCAAGATTCCATTGTTGAAGCTGATTATGGAAACCAGGAAGTGGATGCTTGCATGGGAGTGTTTTAGAGCAGCAAGAGCATTTGTCTCTCATGGCTCTTTGCAGCACATATTAAAACACTGTGGGATTGGTTAATAACTTAGAGTGGTTAATAATTCAATCAGAGTGCTTTTAGTATGTTATTAACCAATTAAGTTGTCAACTGGCACTAAGTTATTTATTTGCTGTGAGAATCACTATATATAATACTATTGTAAATGAAACTATGAAGTCACACTATTATGGTTCTTATAGGTAACGTTGATTGCTAATTTGGTTCTTGAGCCACTGAGGTCTGAGTATCACTTTTCTAGGGAGAGTTTAAAGGATGGGGAGTGGTTGCTGAAGTTGTGTTTGAAATGTATCAATTAGGTTAGGTCATCTGTCCAGAGGATGAAAAATATCATCCATGTATCTCAGGTATACCTCTGGTTTCATGGTACATTTGTCCAGAAATTCTTCGTCAAGGTGGCCCTTGAAGAGGTTGGTATATTAGGGAGCCATCCGGATACTGATAGCTATCCCCATGGTTTGGACAAAGTGTATGTTGTTGAATATAAAATTTTTATCGGTGAGGATAAAATGAAGGATTTTGGTGGTGTGTTTGGAGTGGATATCTGATTGTTGTCCATTATCTTGTAAATATTTCAGGCAGACAGCGCCATTGTGAGGAAAACTGAGGTATAGGGAGGTGACGTTCCTGGTGGCAAGGATAGTGTTAATGTTGCAGTTTTTGGAGGAGGTCAGTCATATCCTGAAGGAAGTTGGCTTTTTGTGTGGTGAGTGGTTTGAGGACAGTTTCTATGAGTCGCAATATTCCTTCAGTAAGAGCGCTGTGGCCAGATATGGGTCTTCCCTGGTATGTCAGGTAGTGGAGCAGTGAGAAATGGGGGGAGGCAGGAAAGGGGAGCAGTGGGGGCAGGGAAGTATATATGTGAATAGGAGGGTTCAGAGCAGTGCAAGAGGAGCTCAGTATCTCAAAGCAGAAAGCCCTAAGGTGGGGAGAAGGCAGGCACCACCCCCAGTCCTCCAGGAGCATACATAGAACACAAAGTTTAAGGCCAGAAAGGATCACAAGATCATCTAGTTTGACCTGTTCATCAGTGGCCCCCAACCCATACACTAAACCCAGCAATGGAAATGAAACCAAAGTAAAGGAGACCCACAGGAGAGTAGACTATCATGTGCCATAGGCAGCAAATAAGAAGGATCAAGGCACACCAGTGCTTGAGGCCCCTGCAATGGCAGGGAAGTTATTAAATGAGATATACCCAGATAATCCTGGCAAGTGATCCCCACCCACAAACTGCAGATGAAGGCAAACACCCCCCCCCCCCAAGGTCCTGTCAATCTGACCTGGGGGAAAATTCCTCCCTGACCCCACATAGGATGCTCAGCTACACACTGAGCATGTGAGCAAGAACCAAACAGCCAAGCACCTAAGAGAATGTTGGTGCAACCTCAGAGCCCTGGCCCGCTCTGCCCAATATCTCATCGCCAGCCATGTCATCCCTGATGCTCCAGGGGAAGAAGACAAAAACACCTGAGAATGTATAGGGGGATGGGGACAGGGAGGGAATCCTTTCCTGACCCCAGCAGGTGACCAGCTGAAACCCTGAAGCATGAACTTTAGGAACAGAAGACAAACTAGAAATGAAACACATGGCTGTTGAGCTGCGCCCCTTGTCCTATTACAAGCAACCACATCACACAATCCTACTTATAAATTTGTCCAGCTCTTTTTTAAAACTAATTAAGTTGTCTGCCCTCACAATTTGTTCCAGATGTTCCAGGACATCACTCCTCTGATGGGTAGAAACAAATAGGGATGCACTCACTGAATGAGTCAAAAATAGTATGTAATCATGTAATTTAAGACTATATCATTCACATATGCACAAAGGGACTGAATAAAGATTTCACAAGCAGCCTTAATATTGACAATTCCTAACTTTTGAGTGGTTGACTTTGCAACCTTAACATTCTTATTTTGTTTGAAGTAGTTAAATATATCAGATATTTTGAGACACACTCAAAAACAGACATTACAGTATCGCCACTTGTAACAGACAACTTTATTTTTTCAAGTTTACATATATCCAGGCTTGGAAGGATTAGATTTTTTTTTTAATTAATAAATGTCTGTAAACATCAATTTCATTGTACACACACAAATGAAAATATTTCCATTGATAACTGAAATTTACAGATAGGCAAACTAAGAAAAATGGTGCTTGAGAATGTATTAGATTTTGATTTAAGGATATTCACTTTGAATATTTTGGAGGGAGAGATAGCTCAGTGGTTTGAGCATTGGCCTGCTAAACCAAGGATTGTGAGTTCAATCCTTGAGGGGGCCATTTAGGAAACTGGGGCAAAAATCTGTCAAGGACAGTACTTGGTCCTGCTGTGAAGGCAGGGGACTGGACTCGATGACCTTTCAAGGTCCCTTCCAGCTCTATGAGATAAGTGACATGTGATGTTGACCATTTGTGTTTTAACAGTTATAAAGCTTTAACTTTTTGAATCTCAACATCAACTGTCATTAAATAATTATTGTATAACCCACCAAAATTTAAATTCATAAAAACTGAAAAAAAATGCTTAAAAATAAGCATAATTATCCAATGAAATTATAAAAGAATAAAAAAAAATCAAATTCTGCCAAGCCTACATATTTTCAATTAGCATTTGAACTTTCTTATACAAAAATATTGTAATTAAAGCTCAAATATTAAAAAGAAACTCTAATAGTTTATTAGGCATCAAAATCATTTTTTTGGTTTAAAGTTCTGCATTTAAGGGACTCTATGTGAGTTACAGACTAAAGACATCATGGACAGAAGCTTACCTTTTTCCTTTCCAGTGTTTTAAGATTTCTGATAGTTATTTCCTGCCACTACCTACAATTTCATTGCAATTAATTTGACAGAACAATTGGTGTATTCAAGACTAAGTTGTTTCATTATATTTCTGCTGAGTCTCTAGCCAGCGATTGATGGCCATTTTCAGAGTCCTATTTGGTGTAAGTATAAGAGATTGGAGAGGGAGATTTGTCATGGGACTAGACCGTCTCTTTTTGCTGATCCAGTTTTCCATTGCCTCTTTTTCATAGGAATAGCCATCTAAAGAGAAAAATACAATTAAAATGTTAAAATTGCACTAACATAGGAATGTCCATCCAAGGCTCTTAATGTACTTTAGATACTAAAGATTAAGCTTCAACAATACCCCCTGGGATTCAGGGAAGCATTTTTTCCAGATGGGAAAACTGGTACACAGAGGTTAAGGGACTTGCCAGATCACATGGGATGGGACTTGCCAGATTGTATGGGATCACATGGAAATCAAAAGATAATCTTTTTATTCACGACACTCCATGTTCTGTACAGAATGGATATATGGTTCTATATTATCATCTGAGCCTTTATTTCTGCAGCAAAGGTGCAGTTTTTTCATGAAAATGAATAAGTATTCCAGTTTAGATTTTTAACTACAGTGAATAAAGTACACCACCAGCATAATTCTGTCATGTCTTACTGTACTGGTAGATCAACACCAAATATAACTGCAGCAGATTACTTTTAAAATGATGTCAACTGCAGTTAGACACTAAGTATTTTAACATTAATTATAGAAAACAATTTAAGCCTATTTGAAGCTCGAGTGCAGTTATAAAAAAAATTCTTGCAAATTTCACAAAAGGCTACAGTTATGGCAAAGCCAGTTCACTGATGCCAGTATTAAAGCCCATGTGTATTAAATGAACCCGTCTTAAGAGAGAATATCATGGTAGCCCCAATGTGATCAAAGGCTGCCCCAAAATAATTCAAGTGCTGCTGAATCTGTTTCTCATGAGATCAGAGGAAACACTTTAGACTTCAATGCCCAATGTAGCATCCCATGTGATACAGAAAAACAGACAGGATTTAGGTCAGGTCTGCATTGGAAGGCCTTGCCAGGATAACTTTACTGGCATACTATAT